GGGACTCTGATTTAACTTGAACCAGGAAAGGGTCTGAGACAGAAGTTTCATAAACCAGTTTGACCCAGATCAGTTAAGTCTGATACTGCGTTCAACTAGGTTCATCTTAAAACAATTTCAGGCATTGTGAAACTGGTTTATGTGGACTAAGCTTCTGTCTGTTACAGGTTTAAACCAGTTTCTGATCATTTAAACCAGTTTATGTGTAACTTCTATCCCTAGCCCTACTGACAAGCAAGTACTAGTTGTGATAATAATGTTTGAGATGTAGACTACAAATTTATTTCATTTAGTCAAAAAAGAGCCATCACTGTCAGTATAAAGATATATAATTATATAACAAAGAGGGTTAAAATTACTCTCAAGTTCTAATATTCTTTTTAAAATAGAGCTTTCAAATAATATTGTTGCCATGATGGATTTTTGTTTATTTGTTCAAATGTATGTTTTATTTTTCTCTTTCTGGGTTTTTATAAATATGAGAATTTCAAATGGCCTTTCATTTTTCCTTGCTGTGGCAATACCTGCAAATACACAGAACCATATCAGGGGTTTCTAAACTCATTCACATTATTATCCTACATATCTTGACCTTTCTATATGATCAGGATACCCAGCTAACGGCTAGCATGCTTTTCTATAAACACCTTATATTACATGTATCCATCCAATGAACAGTAAGAAACCTGTTAAAGTTCAAAACAATTTAAACAAACTACTATTTCTCAATAGCTTTAAATATCTATGTTCCAAAAGGAAAAACTCTCTGCTGGCTTCTATGGAAGTTTGTTTTCATAAAATAGTCTGTATCCCAAGTTTACCTCTTCTGTAGTTATAACATAGTACAACATATAGCCATAATAGTGCTATAAATCTTTGCCATGAGCCAGTTTTTCCATTGTTCTACATCTTGTATGATCATTTGCAGCTAAACAAATTACACACTAAGCGCCCACAAATCAGAGTACAAACACATTATGCCTCCTTCAGATCTCTTACACTGGTACAAGTGACTACATACAGCATCAGGAAAAGGAAATTCTGATCCCAGATGTTCTAGATGTTCAAGATGTTTTACTAGTATCGTTTTAAGTAAAGATAAGAGGGAAGGGTCAAATCTGGCTCACAATTAGCTTTCAACCTGGTTCCCAAGTTGCTTCAGGAAAAAAAACAAAACACTCAAATTCTGAGATTGTTACCCAAATGGTAGTGTGTGCATGTCCTCCTCGAGATAGAAACTAAAATACTTTCCATAAACCAGCTGATTCACACTAAATTCTTCATCTATTCACATCCAGGCTAGATCCCAGGTGATCCTCCTAAAGCAGTAGCAATGTGTAGGGGGTGCACAGGGGTGCATGTGCACTCCTTGAGAGCACTGGCACACCCCCTGTCAGGCTGTGCTCCCTGTTTAAGCAACAGGCAGGGGGGCAGGCAGGAGCACCGATGCTGCCTGCCCCCC